GAAGACGCTTGAAAAGTAGAGTTTCCATTGTTATTACCTGTCTCGATAGAAATGGGAAACCCTTCTATCCGTGCTCGTACCTAGAGAGAAGTGGAGAGTCACAAACGACGTCCAGCATCCCCGACGACGTTAGATCCAGAACGCTTCGGATTCTCTCGTCGTTCCGGAATCCGACGTCGTTCGATCCGTCGACGGAATACTCGGTTAAATTTACGATCGCTCGTTCCAATTCGAAGGGGAAATCGGACATTTGCTCTTAAATTAAATAGCCATCATTACGGCGACGTCGAGTGTGTTTCACGATGTCAGAGATAAAATATCAAAGATCCATTAATTGATTTCGATTGAACGGGAACGTTTGATTTTTTTTTTTTTTTTTTTAAAGAATTTTCTCATACGGTGCGACGTAAAAGAGACGATATGAAAAGTGTGGGAGAACTGCGCCACGATAAAATCAATAATTTAGTTGGATCGAAGTCGCACGCGCCATTTAAATTGCCTCGAATCGATAGGGTGTCTGTTTCGCGCGATAAGAAGATCGTAAAGTACTCCGTTGGTATCTACCGTGTCTCGCTCGAAGTATGGATCCGCTGCGATCGACACTGCTCGGTGTAGTCGCCCACCTGCTCGGCGCAGACGATCGTAAAACTCTCTTAAAAGCGGCAAAAATTTGCCGCAAAATGTTCCATCGCGCGGGAATCTTTGTTGAACAAAAAAAAAAGGAAAAAAAGGAAAAAAAAACAAAAAAAACAAAAAAAACAAAAAAAGAAACAAAAAAAAAATAAAGAAAAAGAAGAAACGAAAGAGAAGTCATAGGGGATCTTCGCCGATAGAAAACGACCGATAGAAATCGTTTATGAATAAGTGCTTTACCAACGATTTCTGAAAAATATTCGAAAAGATCACGAAAGACGATCGATTATAGGAGTTGCGGAGCGTCGAGTGGGCGTTCTCCTTTATTCCTTTCACTCGGGAAACTCCATCTGATATAATATCGGCGATCTTACGAGTCACGCTGGGCGTGTAATGCGCACGCATAGATCCTATCTTAGGCGGCTTCCACGAAAGGTCTGCTTCCCTTTATCAGGGAATCGATAAAACACGCGAAAATGCGCGAGCAGATAAAGATTTAAGAAGCGTTTAACGAAAGTACTTGTTGCGATAAAAGTTTCGTTCATCGATCGTAAAAAAAAAAAAAAAAAAATGGTAATCGCGAATGGAGATGAAAAACAAGCGCTCACTTTTTCAAAGAAGAATATTTTACGGTAGATACGTTGAAACGTACGTTCAAGAGATGAGACTCTTTATAGTTTGACCAATCGATTACCGAGGGCAAGTTCGAGCGACATTAATATTAACGGACTGTCACTTTCACCTCGACTTACCGGTTAAAGGATGTAACACGGTAATCGCGAGCAAGCCTCCGTGAGTTACCGTATATACGTCCGTTAAAAGTATCTCGTACGATGTATATACGGTCTTGTGCATGCAAAAATGTCCGAACCGGTTAGCGAGCATACAAAAGTGTCGCTCGAAATTAATGGACCACGGACGAATCGATCGAATTTTTTAAAGAGAAAAAACAATGTGTTACTTCATAGTCCGAATAAAATGTTCGGCCGAATAAAATGTCACAGGCGTAAGAAAAAAAAATTGGCAGAGAAAAGGGGAAAGGATTTGTATATCTCTTAATTAAGACTCTTCGTATTTCGAGGAAAAATACTTTACTCTTTGTAAAGTGTACGAGCTTAAAACCGGCTTTTGGCGTTGTTAACGAGCGAAGGTTATCGTCGAGACGCGATCCTATTACGTTCTCGAGCGTACTCGTATAAACGAGTGTAATCGAAGCGAAGTCGCATAAGGATCGACTTGAAAATGAGTTGGCTAGGAAAACGCATTTTCCACCAAGAGAAAGAGGGAGAGAGAGAGAGAGAGAGAGAGAGAGAGAGAGAAAATTTCCGCAGTATCGTTTCGCTATATTACCGAGCATAAAGGAGCAGCGCGCGCTCTCCGACCCGACGTTGCACTTTATCAGGAGCGCGGGCTTTTATGTCGCTTTTAAAAGCTTTGCAAAAAACACGAGCGTTCGATCGAAGCGGGACTCTCTCTCTCTCTCTCTCTCTCTCTCTCTCTCTCTCTATCTATCTATCTATCTATCTATCTCTATCTCTCTCTTTACGCGTCTCCTTTGGTAGACCGATCAAAAGGCCACGGAAAAAGCAATCGACTCTTTTTTCCAAAAATAACCATTGGCTACGTAATCGAAGCGTTTTATTTCCATACCTCGAATATCTCTTTTACGAAACGAAAGAAATTAAACATTTTAAATAATTAACGAGTATCCGACAACGGGAAAAGCAACAACGACGAGATCTCGTCGTAGATCAGAGACTAGATCTCGGAGACTCGATCGAGACATAGGATCTCGTTGGCTTTTCAAAGGAATCGCAGTTTCGTCCGAGCGAACCGTTCTCCGAGGCGTCGGTGGTAAATAAGTTCCGGAATGCTCGAGAAAGAAGAGGAGGAGGAGGAGAAGGAGGAGGAAGACACGAAACAAGCTGTGGAATTCAACGTTACCTTATCTGAAGAATGCCAGGAGAGGAGCGAAATGGAAGGAGCATAAGAAGAGGAGATGGAGGTAAATAAGGAGATGCTGCGCATCGCTACTTCTTTTCCATTCCGTAGCGATGCGCAGCATGCCGGATTCGAGGGACGCTAGCGTAATAGCTTCGAAGCTATTTTAATACGCGCGCACGCGAGAGAGTAAACGAGGAGAAAGAGAGATGATTGATTAAATTTCTACGAGGAGCCAAGACGCCGCGAGCTCGTAATTGAAGGCACATTTTATCTATCAGTCGCGATTCTTACGCTCCGCGAATCGGCGCCTCTTGGCGTCGATAACGGTCTCGTTTCGTGGAAACGTCTACGGATACCGACGAGAGCTAATCTTTCGTCTCCTCTCGTACTGCACGAGTCTATATGCCTCTCGAAAGAAGTTCGATGTTCGATCGGAATGAAAAAAAAAAAAAGAAAAAGGAACGCCTTTGTGGACTCGATGAAAATTAACGTAAAGTGGTAATGGGTCTGCGGAATCGTAATTCTATTACTAAAGCTTTACGACGAAACATCGAAGAGCATAAATTTTTCCGCAGAGGGGAGGGGGCGGGTGGAAGGGGGGGGGAGGGAAGAGAAAATATATCGTTCTCCGATATTAAATTCAGACCAGCCAGTTTATTCTGTTAGGCGATTCTGTTTCTTTCTCTCTTTCATCCGAGTTTCTCGATCGTGAACGAAGAGAAATAATAAGCACGTCCCTTTTCTCTTTCTCGCTACGAAGACAGAATAAATTCTGTATTACGTGTATATAACCATCCACGTATATTCTATATATGTGCAGCCGAGCCAGTTCTTCATCGTCGCGGCGAGAAACACAATATATTATCGTATCGATTGTCCGCCCTCGAGCGAACTCGCGAATCGAACGAGCATCGAAGCCGATCGCTATTATCCCTCGACCTTTCTCGTACGCGTATTCTCGATGGAAGAGAACGAATCGCGCGTAGGTGAACAATACGAAAGTATCGAACGAGAAAAAAGGAAAAGATAAAAAGAAAGGGATAGAAAAGTGAAAAGAAAAACTAGCTCGATACTGGCGAGTATTAGACTCGATAAGATCGTACATTGGACGAACGACAAAAATATTATTGGTATAAATATTTAAGTTGCCCTTTCGTCGAAGATAAGAGATGTTAAGATAAAGCGTTCGAAGGAATCTGATAAAAAGAAACATACGCGTTGGGCAAAAGCCCAAGGAGCTTGTTTTTCATGCTCGCGGATTTGGGAAAAGAAAAACGATGTTGTTGTATCTTACGGAGATAACGCTGAGAGTGAGAAATACAGAGAGAGAAAGAGAGAGAGAGAGAGAGAGAAAGTCGTTTTAGTAGGTGAAAAGAAGACGAAAAAGGAAAGGAAGAAGGATCGGCGAGAAAGAGCGGGAGGGTGGGGTGAGGGAGAGCAAAGTACAAAAGGAGGGGTCATGAAACCGCAGGCCGTCGGCTATGGCAGATTATCGACTGCCGCAACGCTGCGGCAGGGAGTGGGCCGAGCGAGGGGCAGAGAGGGACCAAGGGTGAAATGCGGTATCGTCGAGCATAAATCCGCAGATACGACGTGAAAGCCGACGCCGGGCATCGAGAAAGATTTTTGTCCGGGTCCCTCTTGCCGCTGTTACCGCTGCTGTTCGAGCTTGTACTTTGAAAGATATTGGATAAAGTCCCGACTCTTGCTCGCCTTGAACTCGCTAATATTAAATGACACGGTGCTCGTTCCGTTCTTCTTATTCTACTTTGGAAAAATACGAGTAACTTTTGCAAATAGCAATGGTTCGCGATTAGATCATAGACATGGAAAAATGGTTGATAAACGTAGCGAAAAGATCTTATTCCATGAAAAAAAAAAAAAAACAACACATGTACGTAGGTATAAGGATCGTCCACTCCGACAACAAATTGTTCAACGTTCGAGCTTCGAGTAGTAGTCATTATGTGTACGAGTTGGCCGATAACGCTGATTTATGGCAGCAAAACATCGTTATTGGGAACTAATATTGTAGAAAGAGCGTTGTCTAGAGTCTCTCTACCCACGCAAACGTCTCGTGTTGTTCAGCCTCGTAATCACGCAGAAATAGAAATATTAATATCGCCGTCTGCCGTCGATTTTCTACGCTTTGACGGATAATGCTCTTCGAACGATTCAACGTTGTTTCGAAGAAAACAACCATCTACAATTAATATTTATAGATCGTACAACCTCCACTCGTTCAATCGTTGTTCAAAGATCACGAACATTCGCGATCGATAGAAAAATTCTAATTCGATTTCGTCTAAATATGACATACAATCCATTTTCCTTTTATCGAGCCACCCTCGCGCGTTATCGAAAAAAGAGGATAAATCGTTCGATGGATCGATCGTAATGGTAAATGATCAATAACTTCTTACCTTCGAGATTGGCCATAGAAAACCTGTAGCTGTCGATTCTCGGAGTATTGATGTCCGAGTTGAAGGGCCTGAGGGTTGCCGAGCTCACATTATCGAGACCCTGTAACAAAAAGAGAAAAATACTTTTAAAGTCTGTCCTCTTTCAATTAATATTTCGAACGTGACACGATAAGAAATCGCGATTGTTACGAAATATATTCGATTGAAATAATCGTAAGGTGTAAAGGAATTCGTAAGGTAAAAAGTTCCATTGGTCGATCGTTAATCCTTTCTGGTTGTCTCTTTACGTAGGCGTATCTCAGCTGGAAAAGCGATTTGTAGGAGATCGTCGATTGGCTCACCCAATTTCCGCCGGTCGCTCGAATAATTTCACGGCAAAAAGAGGTGCGCCGTAGAGTTCCAAACTACGTGCAAGGGTGTTTCTATCTCCTGGAAGCGTTCGCTCGAAGAATATTCGAAGGGATCGATCAAGTAGTTTCTATTTTCCGCTGCTTCGTCGGACGAATATTGCCGGGCAAGTTTCGTAGGCGACTACGCAAAATGAAACGAGATTACAAGGTAACATCTTGCGCGTAAATCTCTCGTGAAACCAAATTTCATGGGACATAATCTAAAGGACTATGCGCGTGGTTGTGTGAAGCGGTCGATGAATCCCTTCGAAGATAGAGGTAAATCGAGACAAAGGAGCAAGATTCACGCCTATTAAGATTCTAGAGGATACCCAGAGTGAGGTTTCATGAGAGAAGGATGAGCGCGCGCGAAAGAGAGAGAGAAAGAGAGAGAGAGAGGGGGAGGGCAGTACATATCTATCGTTTTACCGGGTGGTGTGGTCAGCACGAAAGACACGTTCTAAGGCGAAAAGAAACGTTCTCCGGCGTTCGATGGACGTTCGCGCAAAAGCCGTATATAGCCGGCGGACTTCCGCGTTTTGAGCCATTAGCTGTAAATAATGTGCGAGAGCTTGCTCGCCCGCGCTCGAGCGTGTGTACACGGTGTGTGTTATACGGCGCTTAATCAACCAGGAGCGTCGTACACGCTGAGCACACAATGCCTCGTACCTTCGAACACACGACAAAATGTTGACTCGGCGATGTTCTATCGAGTGCACGCGCCTATGTGTGCGCGCTCGAGAACCTTCTCTCGACGACTTAAACTATGCATGTACGCCTAACATAATACGGATAAAATTAAGATAATAGAGATCTTAAATGGAACGTGATAAATTCCTTGAGAAGATATTATTAGAAAAATATGAAATGTAAGAAGCGCGATAGTAAGATAAATCGTATAATTATTTATAAGACTCATCACGTGAATTAGGAATGTACGAACGATATTAAGGAAGAAAGTTAACTGGCAAACTCGATCGATGCTCTTACTTTCTAACGAAGAACAGCCAAAGATAGCAAGAAAGTTCGTTAACGATGAACCATACGTATACGCGAATACACGCACAACCGACTCTTGTTGAAGATAACCACGACGCATCGTCGCGTTTTCGACGCAGTGCCGCATCTAATGCGACTCCTCGTTATATGTACGCAACGTGTAAGCTCACAACGTGGAAGGTTGACAGAGAGACGTAGGAAGAGAGAGAGAGAGAGAAACAGGATAATTAGGTCCCGTCGAATAAACAGTCTCTTCCTGTAACGCGAAACCCGTGGACGCAATTAAGCACGTCTTCCGTTAACTTTTATCTTCCGTCGAGAATCGTTGGGCCGGTTGCCGTCTGGATAAACGGAAATAAAGCACCGCGAGCGGCCAAATCGATTCCACGTTCGATAAAAATGACTGGGGATGTTTTTTCTCGAGAAAAACATCGTCGATCCTATTTAATCCTTCGTGGGAAAACAAATTTCTCATTCGTAGGTAAGCAACGCGAATGAAAAGAGCAGAGACTTTCTCGTCCACTCGGCATGCCAATTTACTTGTGCGAAGGGTGAAAAAAAAAAAAGAAAAGAAGAAACGGTAGAAAGATAAAGAGACAAGATTTACTCTCGACAAAGATTTTCCGTGAAACTACGACTCTTGTGGCCCGTGTTTTCTTCGTGAATAACACGGGTCGAAAGAGAGAAACCTGAAACGAGCCTGGCGCCGGTTTATTTTCGGCAAGACCTTCGAACCTTTATTACTCGCGACCGTAAGACCGTCTTTCCGTTTAATTTGCCTACCGAAAGACGATGAAGAAGAGAGAACGAAGTTCTCTCAAGAAAAGTCGCTCGTTCCATCGACGATCCTATTTCAAGTAAAGACAATGGTCTTTATATTTTCGTTCCTTCGTGAATCCGTTCAATGTGAATCCTAACGAGAAAAACGACTGTAATGGACTTCCGTGGGATAAAAAAAAAAAATTAGCATAAATTCGTCGCAACTCCGCGGCGACTAAAATGTTCATCGCAAAAAGCAATGAAAAGCGATTCGCGCGATGCCGCGCGAACTGGCTTACGAAGAGAAAGAAGAACAGGAGTGCGTGTGGAGAGTTTAACAGCGATATTTAAATGCCGCCAAGAGTAAGGGAAGGGGAAAAACAAGAGCCGGTGGAGCGCTTTACATACGATTTGCATTTAACATTCCGAGTCAAGAAGATGAATTTAACGTCGAGAGTCTCGACGGTATGTACACCTCGACTTCTTCCCTCTGTCCTTTATCGATCGTTTAGCGGGCCTTTCACCGATTATCGTAGCTTCCCAAACTCGAGAACTAAACTTTGATCGATCGTTTCACGAAAAATATTCTCCCCGTTTTGACAGGAAATGAAAAAGAATGACTAAACTATTCCTCGACTAGAGACCGCGCTTTCCTATCTTAGTTCCGTGTCTTAGTTGTTTCAACGTCGCAGACGACATTTAAACTACGACAAAGTTTATCACGATGAGACTCGAATATTATCGAAGGTGGTTCTCTACCTTTAAATATCTTCGTCGGATCACTGAACGGACGAAATGAATTTTAAAAGATCTCGATGACTTTATCTCTTTTAACATTTCATCTATAAATATTTTACGCTTGAAATAAATGCAATTATTTTATATGCGAATGCATTTCATTTGCATTCGGTCAAACGTTCCGTGTAATATCAATCTATTCCTTGTATGATTATTTGCATAATAAATGAGTTGCCTGCGGAGCATATCCTTTCTCGAAATTCAAATATGCGCGCGCGCGTGTTTTGTTCGCCCATCGGAGAGTAATACGTTCGAGGATAATTCATTTTACGGTACAAAAGCTGCCGCTCGTAAACATTCAATTCGTTTTGAATTTTCAAAGTCCCCGTATAAAATTTTCAAGAACTATTCCAAACTGTCTGATGCATGCATAATTTCATTTGTCGTAGAAAAAATTCGAGATCCCTGGGATCTACATTTTTTCTTTTACTTTTTATCTTTTCATCTCTTTTTTCTTTTTTTCTTTTTTTCTTTTTTTTTTTTTAATGCATAATAAAATGCGAATGGGATGCTTGGTGAAATACATAAAAGCGTACTCACGACATCGTGCGCCTTGTGGCTTTTCCATCGGAACAGCCTATCCATCTGTACACGCTGTGAAAACACTCGTCTTCGCTATTCTCTAAACGTACGACGAAAGCGTATAGTTCCCTTCTTCGTCTTTGCTTCGTCGTTTAATATCGATATTATCGGAGCACGTAGCTCGATCGGATGGAGAGTCACGTGGACCGTTTTCCGACGTTTCTCGCGTTCCTTCGACAAGGACGGCCAACGAAAGAACCCTATTAAAAGGCATCTTTCTCCTTGACTCGAAAATATCAACACTAATGACAAAAAAAGAAAAATAGTACTCCGTGCGACACACGGTTAAAAGATCGACTCGCGTCGTTTTATAAACTCATTAGACTTTGTTGACTTTAACTACCGATGAAAAGATTATTTCTCGTATCATCCAAAATTCGATTGGATCGACGATAACGCGTTGGCACGCGCGATGAAATCGCGATCGATTTTCTTTCTAAACGATCGTTTCTCGTAACGAACCGGTTAGGACAAACGGAGTAAGGATCGAGGAGAGAGGACTCTCTCGGCCGTGTGTTATCGGATCCGTCGTAGTGGTACGAGTACTGGATGCTGATCCGCGAGGGGATTCAACGTGGAGTCGAGCGGCGTTCTGTCCCTCGCCCTCTCTCTCTCTCTCTCTCTCTCTCTCTCTCTCTCTGTCTCTCTCTCTCTCTCTCTCTCTCGATTCCCTCCTTGCGACGTTCGTGTGCGCGCACACGTTCTCGGCCTCTCTCTTTTGCACGGGAGACCGCGTACTCGCCTCCTGTCGCGAGCGCGCATGTGCGTCTATCGATTCCGTCGACTCTCTCGCAGGAGCCAACGGCTTTTTATCCTGCGCGAAGGAGATCCGTCCTCTTTCGTCCTTTGATCGAGGATCTCTCAGCGACGCCTTGAAATTGCGTTCCCTCGCGGATAACGTCCAAACTTTTCCATCAAAGCTTCTCGACAACAGAAAATTTTTCCTGGAATATACTCGGACGTATCCAATGGAATATTATCAAAGGATATTCCTCGTATCGTTTGAAATGAATCAATGAATCGACAAAAGAAATTTTATCTTTTTATCGCGAATTGTATCCGAAATTAAAGAACGTAAACACAAGTATCTCTCCTCGTTAGTTCGTAACTCGGTGAATTTCTCTTTCTTTTCTATAATACTCTCGTCGACGGTATAACACAAACAACCAGTCGCTAAGGGGAACGCGAATCGAACCCCTGTAGAACAGGGGGTAAGCCGGTGACGCCTCGTCGAACGAGGATATTCGATGCAGTCACTCAGGTGCTGCATTGGCGCTTACTCGTGCATGCACGCGCGAGCGAGTGTGTGCACTCCCGCGACCGAGGGCTGAACTAACGCACCCTCCTCCTCGGTCGTAACTTGCTTTCTAAAACCAACCCCCCCCTGCCCCTTAGAAGGATCCCATGTTGTTTTTTATGAAAATACCCTGTCGACCCTCAAGTCGCCTCTCTTTTTTTCCTTTCGTCGACGCGCTAACGACGCGCACGATGGAATTTTCAATAGGATCGATCTAGAAAAGCTTCGAGCACGATCGACGAAAACTTTAATTCGTTCCTGTCCCGTGTTCTTCTCGAAATAGCCGCGAAGACGACTCGCGACTTAGGGCAGCGATCCGTGCGCCTCGCTGGAGGATATAATGGCAAAGATATAATTATAGACCAAGTTGCCAAGGGACGAGAAGAAAAACAGAGAGCAAGTCATCGAGTGAATCAGACGAAGCGCACCAACGACTAATTGTTTTGTACTAATTCTTCCTAACCAGAAGGATTAATTTGCTCGGAGGACAAAAAAAAAATATATCTCGCGACCTTTCATTTTTCTCGTTCCTCCTTGAGACACAATGAAAGAAGACGCGTGTAAAGACGCGAATAAAAACCCGAGTTCGTCATTCGACCGTCAATTTTTCTTGGCATTCTACGAGAATGCTCGGCGCGAAAGCGAGTATTCTACCTTCCAATAGAATTCGACGATCCATCAAATTGTACGGCACGACGTTCGAAGTCGTCGGCGTACCGTCGACGATCCGTCAGCGTCTTCGTCGATTTCGCGTCGACGACAGAGAGAAATATGCGACGTCTCTTGTATTGCCAGACACGTTCGCGGATAAACATCCGTCGCAAAGACGCATTCACGTGTTACTCGGCGCACCGAAGTCGTCGCGTGCTTGCATATCCGGTACATCGTGCACGCACACGATTGCGGCTCGACTCGTGCGTGTATCACCTTCGAGGACCGAGGCAATTCATCCGTCTCCTTCCGCTCTTTTTATCTCTCTCTCTCTCTCGTTCTCTCTCTCTCTCTTTCTCGCTCGCTCGTCTCTTTCATACGCCGCACTAGAGACTTGCACGTGTTCGCGCGATGCTTATCTCGATGCTCTTAGTTGCGCGGATAAGACGTTTCGTTGCTTCCTTTTTGCCAACCTTCACGAGGCGACGTCGCTCTCTCGGCAAGGATATTATATTCGCGAGAGAATATAATATCGAGGACATCAAGTTCAATTCCTTGAAGCTGATCGTTTGCTCAATCAAAATTCTCTATTCTCCTTCGAGACGAAAGATTTATAAAAAGATCGCTACGATTTATCGAACAACCGATTAAGATTTAACACGAATCCCGCGAGGGATTCTAGGCGTAATGAACCCTTCTATTAGACGGTACCCATGAGAACGCAGCGGTCCGGAAGTGGCGTTCCTTTAAAGCCTGCCGCTTATCATCGTACATCGTGCGATCTTTCGAGAGAACGAGGAGCATCCTGCTGGTTGAGTTGACGCGACCCATCTACTTCCCAAAAGTTCGACCCTAATGTTTCGTCTAGTCGCCGGCCGATTAACTTTCCCTCCGTCATTAGAAGGGTACCAGTAGAGATTTCAGACGCAATATCAAACGCTTATTAACGTCGCTCGATGGACCTTTCCGGAGTTCTTACGTCACGAAAGATTTCCTTGAGATTTGTTTTAATTTATACCTCATTTATAGTTGAAGAATATTAAGATTAGATTTAAAAAGAGAACGCGATAAAATCGAAGAATCCCTTTAGTCTCGAAGAGATACTAAACGCATAGGAAGTCTGTAGCGTGGAAGGAAAATTTTGTTCAGGAGAACTTCCAAGATTCGAGGATGCGCTTATCGTAGATGCGCATCTCGCGATCCTCGCTCGGGATCGAGAAAAGCCGTGTCAGCTGCTTGATAAATTAGATCGGATCTTCGAAACCCTTCGTAGCTGGCACCCTAATATTCATCGTGCCAACCCAAACGCGTCCACCTACGACGAGGCAACCCTTATTCATTGGGACGACGACGTGATTAATCGCGCGGCTCGACAAAACCGCAGTAACATATTGATTTCGGAGCACTTTTATGGAGATGCCATGTATATTCCTAAAAGCCAAACGAGAATCTCCTTTTCCGTTGAACACCATTTACATCAAATTTGATCGATCTATTTTTAACTCTGAGATATTTCAAAGGTCTTCGACGAAAGTTCATATGACACCGCAGAGAGCGGTGGTAAGTTCGAGGAGTCGATAAAGATCGATAAATCTATCCTACGACCAAAGATAAGATTGTGATAAGCTGCAAACTACTTCCGGAGTTTACTCGTTCTTAAAGTCGACCGTCTAGCCAGATTTATCGAATCGTTTAGGGCTTTTCGAAGATTAGGTATCTCGAAAAGGAGCCGTTGTCACGCACAGAGGGTTATTGTTTTTTATCAAAAGAATTCATTTTACAAATGCACCATATACGATTTACCATATCGAATTTCATTTCGATAAGTATGTTTAGTATTGCATGTACTTTTACGTAAATATATTTACTTCTCTAGTTGCCCTCGAGTTATTCCCTGATCACTGATAAAAGAAGATTTAATAACGCTAATGGACACGCGAGCCGTTCTGCCAAAGAAATAAGAGAAAATAATAAAATGCGATTAAGATTAATACGCATTTATCGAGCGAAAAGAGCTTTCTATGTTTTTTGTATCAAATTATAAAAGACATATCGCGAATAATCGAGAAAGCACGCTTTTCCTATTAAGGCAATAATTAATATCGTAAAATCGCCGAGGCAGATGCATCGTCAAATCTTTCTAGTTCGTCGCAGAGAATATTTTTGAACGTTTGCCAAAAGAAAAATCCTTTGAATATTTTTCCAGCATTTTTACTACGTTCTACTCGAAAGAAAGATGAGTAACTACCGATGCCGCTATATCCATTCCCGTTCGACTTGGCTCGAGATCACCGCATCAAAAGTTTGTATACGATAAGACGGGATCTTTCACGAATTTCTTTTCTACCTATCTTCTTTATAATGAAAAAGAATCTGCGAGAAAAGTTAGGAAATGAATAATGAGATGCAAAAATAGATTTTTAATTGACCAAACCTTCCCTTTTCTATCCGACCACGTTGGTAGTTTATTTTAATTGTCCCTCTTATCGAGACTAAAATTATATTCGCGAGAATACGTCGAGACCTGCTAACGATAGGCATTGTTCTATCTTGGAGATGCTCGACCGGACGAAGAGACGGTGAAACGAGCCACCAGGCGATAATTAAAATATCATGTATGTTTCTAAACGAATTCTCTCTCGATGCCATTTAGAGGCGTCGTCGTCGAGTAGAAAAAGCACCACTTTGATCGATAACAAATGAGAATAGTCGGCCGATTGCGAACATGCACGACGAGATTAATTATACCATCTCACGAGCTTAACGCTCGCTCGCTCGCTTGCACGTAACGACTGCAGAGAAACTAGCCATGAAGAAGAACTTTGAAAAATTTTTTGCGAACACAGACGGTAGTCTACAACACAATTGGATGATATTGAATTGCCGTCGCAGAGGGAATTGGCTCTTTCGAGGAAGCGGTAGTTCAGTAACCGAGAAACGAGATAAAATGAGAGAGAGAGAGAGAGAGGACGAGTGCCTATTTCAATTCGTTTATAACGAGCATGGAAAATCGAATCGTCTCGCGTGTTCTCGTGTCTTCCTGCTCAAACGATAATAGAAAGTTAATGGTAATGAAATACAACAAAGTATAAAAGTCGAACGAAGGACGATACGACGAAGCGGATAGTAAACATAAATACTAAAGTGTGATATTTAAAAGAAAAGCAAGAAATCGACTATGGTTTAATAGAGCTCATATAGCGAGACAGACATATCCTTCAAAGTGACATTCAAAGTGATTTAGAAACTGGATCGATATATATCCTACTTAATGCGCAAGATATTTATTTACATCGAACGCTAAGATACTATGTAGCCGCACGCATCAACTGTGTAACTACGTAGTTCGTATGGGTAATCGCTATGAAAACAAGTTAAAAATGTAATATACGATAAAATGATCGCGCGTTTGGCGGCCATCTTCTTCGTTCGGGCAAAGGTACTTAGCTTATCGGCCTTCCGTTTGACGCGTCTACAGCTGCAACTTGGACTTCCGTTCCTCGTGCACGACCCTCCGTATTTCCACGCATCCCAATCGTGTGGTCGTGTGGCCCGCTGGTTTAAATATAGACGTGCTTCTTTCTACTCGTCGTGTGTTCTTCGAGAGCCACGTCGATTAGAACGTCCCCTCACGACTTCGATGTTAAAGGAACGAAAAGGAAGAAAATAGAGGAGGTGGGGAGAAGAAGCGTCGACGAAGAAGAAGCAGGATGTGTAGGCGCATCCTTTCAAAATGCAAATCGTTTCGAGTTATCGGCCAGGCTATTCGAGGACACAAGCCGTGCCGTCGCACCTGTATCGCAAAAAAATTCAACTTCGACTTTCGCCAAGAATATAGAGTGAATTCCGAATTTGTTCCCTTAAGAACAAAGCCAAGAAAGAAATTGAACTTGGTTGTGAATAGCAAACGATGCCAAAAGCAATCGACAATTTTTCTTTGTTTGTTTGTTCATTTGCGAATTAAATTGTATCGTTGATGCTCGCAGAACATCTTCGTTATAACAATTGAAAATTATATGATTAAATTATTTTCAGGGAATTTTGTTAAATGGTTATTCTTTATAAAGCAAATTAATTGTTAATTAAAAATGTCGTCGTCAATTTCCGTTTCCTGCTTTTGTGAAAAATACCGCTGACAAAAGCAAAAAAAAAGTTTTCTATTTTTACGCTTGCCACGCAATCTGCGTTATTTTCTTCCGTCCGGTTTATCTCTCTACCATGAGATATTCGAGCGGCCATGTCGAAAAGGAAAGATCTCGTTTCTCCTAGAAAATAATTAAACTAAGTGTCGTTTAATTAACATAAATCCCATTGTAAAATTACGTACCGTAATGTTAAAAAAGAAATGGTACCAGGAGAATAGAGAAAAGTGACATCGTAAATATTGCGACATTGTAGAGTGAAGAAGATAGGACTGCTCGCAGATTATTCTCGGCGAAAAAATATCGTCCGAAGAATACGCCGACCATGACCGTCAAAGAAAATTCGTCTCGTGCGTTAGTCTTCATGGCGAAAGACGCGTTTTCTTTAAGGACAGAAAGAAAGAAAGAAAGAAAGCAAGAAAGAAAGAAAGAAAGAAAGAAAGAACGAGAAAGTCGAGCACGAGTCAGCGAAGAAATAGAAAGAGAGATGGAAAGAGCGAGAGAGAGGGAAAGAGAGACGCTTCCAATATTAGCCGAACGCGAGTAACTCCACCGTCTATTTATATACCGGGTGGTACAAGCACTCTCTTGAGAGAGAGAAAGAGAGAGAGAGAGAGAGAGAGAGAAAGAGAGAAAGAGAGTGCGGCGTGTACCACCGTTTGCATTCTGCGACGAGCATCGCGGTATCGCCGAACTCGCAGTATTTTCGTCCAAGGATGATTCAAACGTAGAATTCACCATTGAACGCCCAGACGTTCCGAACATCTAGCAGACATTTACGAATCCGAACGATCGTGCCAACATTTTCTTTGGCGTCCCTGTCACCCCGCCGTCTTTTCGTCAATCGAACAATCGTTTTTTCGAGAGATATTCGTAAAACACGAATTGAATTTGCATAAATGATAAGCGATAATATCCGTCCGCTATGTTCGACGAATTCAAAGAGAATTCGACTCGAAAGATTATCATGGAATGGTCCAAAGAGGTCCGAGCAATCGTACTTTCACGGCACGATCCGTATTAGATGAGCGTACGTGTTGGTACTTGAAATCGTCTGCGGAATCCGCTTGGCGCGTTTCGAATCCTCTTTGAATCGTACTAGAAGAGACGTTTACTCGGACTCTCCTTCCGTGCCAAGACCCGTCGTCCCCTAGTACCCTTGCACTCGGCAGAGAACGTTCGCGATGCTGCCTCTCTCTCTCTTTCTCTCTTGTGTTTCTCTCTTTCCGTCTTTCTCTTTCTCGTCGCGTAAATTTTCTCGAGATCTTGAACGCCGTAGCGAAGCTTCGCGTGCTCGCGAAGCATCTCTTCTTCGTCCTCTCGAGATATTCTTCTCGAGTTTCTTTTATTCTAATCTCTTCCTCTTGCACGGTTCTACGTACCGGACGCAGTCACGTACATACCATGATTCTTTCTTTATCGTCTAGCTTTTATCTCCGATAGAAATTTATCGAAACCATCTACATATCAATTTTTATCGGACGATTTTTTTTTTTTAAATAAAGTTCCTTTTTTTTTTTTATCCATTTTACCAAGAAGTGAGTGAACGTTCAAACGAACGTTGTTTGTTTCTTTGCGACGTTCTCCTTGCACTTTGATCGCTTTCATCGGGTTTGCGAAAAGTTCAAATAAATTTGAGCTTGGTCAGACTTTGAGGATTTTTTTTTTCTTCTCAGGCCGAACAGTCAACGGTTCGCTTCGCAGAAACGTCCAGACCGGAAAGAAAACTTCCGACGATTATAATAGAGCCCACTTCCGGATCGTAGTCAAATATTTATACTATAACGGGCTGCTGACAGACGCGATATCGGTCCAGACCGGTTCATATCGATTACTCGCGATACTCGAAGTAAGAATAATCGTGAAAATGAATAGCCACTCCCGTTAGGAAAATCTTCGGTTGAATAAAATTCTACCTAAAGTCAAGTTTTGTGAACGTTCCAAAACCCATCGTCTTATGATAATACGACTTTCGAGTCGAGACCAGCGTCGGCTTCGCGTCTGCGGCAAGAATAAATTACGTCGGCGGGAGAAAGGGGGAGGGGGAGAGAGAGAGAGAGAGAGAGAGAGAAAGTCATAACGTTTCTCGAAACGTCGCATCGTCCCGCTACACGAGTATCCTTCTCGGAGGCGTAGCTCGCACGCGCGGTCCTTGAATGCTGGAAAAATAAAAGACGGGATAAAGGAGACGGGGAAGGAGCATGGAGTGAGTCATCGAAGAAGGTGCCCGAAAGAGAGTAGAGAGAGGTGGGCCGTAGTAACAAAGCGTCGTTAAGAAAGGTGCGGGTGGCCTCTTCCAGCTTCTTCTGCCCATCTCGTTGTTCACGGTTTCAACGTTGCGGAGTCTTTCCTTTCTTCCTGGTGGTAGCCCCGTCCTGTCGGAGGACAACACCGACTGTGCGAACAAAGGAATACCCTCCTCCCTCAAATTCACCTGCGCTTCGAGGTATATCGACGGTCGAAACATTTTCTTCCGCGAAAAGATTGCGAGTCCAACTAAAAGCGTCGTTCCTGGGTTTTTAATAATAACGCGTTACGATTAAAATAAATTATGAAACGACGCTTAGTACGTAGAGCATCGATCTTCTTGGAGTGACTAAACAAGTGGAAGGTCGACGTTTTTATCGTTGCCACCAGAAGGGTCTTCACCCTTCGACGTTTCCGAAGAACTTTGGCGAGGAAAAAGAGGAAGAAAGGGATGTAACGTCCTAGCGCGAAGGAACCACCCACGTAGGCTGTAAAGGGGTATGCGCTTTAAAGGTTCCTAAGAGAGACCTTGAAGCGGCATCAAAACTCTGCCGTTCCGCTTACAAACGGCCGGCCCTTTTTCACGCTCTTGTAAATGGGAGAGAAAAGAAAAAAAGTTAAAGGGAAAAAACAAGAGCTCGAAGGGAAGGGAAGTTACTCGCTGTTACTCGCGCACGCGTTTTTGAAGATGTTCCTATCAAGCAGGAATATATGAACGTTTTCTAAAAGACAATAAATTTAAAATGCAATAAAGCTTATCATCGTGTATAGATAGATGCGCATAGTATAGATATATGTAACTAAGCGAAGAGATATAAATTTTGAACGACTCACGGACCGTCGTTCGCGCGAACAATATTCAATGAATATTCAACGAAAGACTTGTGCGCTCGGCGCGATTCAACGTGATCGAACTACCAACGACAAATGTTTATTATTA